GAGGAAGCGGTTCATCGCATTAAGAGGAAAAATTGTTTTGGAAGAGGCTGTGGACCTGTCATCTGACAGATTACTGATGATGATGATGATGAGGATGAGTATGAGAATGTTACTTATTGCACAACACATGGGTTATAGCTTTGCAAATGTTCTGTAATCGTTTTATTTTGGATCATTAATTCTGAAATAAATTTTGTATACACAAAACCAGTTTGAGTGGTAGTGAACAAATTTTATACATTACTTACCAACACACACCTTCCTGTCAGGGCCCAGGCGATAACCAGAATCACAAACACACTTGAATGAGCCATCAATGTTGACACATTTGCCATTTTCACACATCCCTGTCTGAGAACATTCATCCAGGTCCACACAGAAGGTCCCATCCAGTGATGGTGTAAAGCCATCCTGACACACACAGCGGTAGGATCCAGGTATATTTTCACAGCGACCCTTCAGGCAGATTCGTGCATTCTCATAACATTCATCAATATCTGAAAAAAATACTCATGTTATTTCAGTTATTACTGACTCTTTCTGAACAAAATATTGTATAGTAGTGAAATGCCCATATACAATTCAATGGAATGTCTCTTCATTTGCCATATAAACTACACAGTTATTTTTTATGGAGTCAGTATAATTTAATTATAACATTAAGTTTCAAATGCCAACACAAAGGTAAAACTGTGCTTTCGCAGGCTATCAGTGACCTTCCACAGCTTGTGCAGGCTAGCCTTGATGGCAAACCACTGGCTTTTATGGATATTGATTTCTTAGGTACACTGTATCAACCACAAATGTGATGCATGAGGGATGTTTAATAAATAGGTTTCCCTGGCCTGTAACATTTGTCCTAAACTTGTCCCATCAGACTTCCATTTGTCTGGTCCTCTGAAGCATTCCACAATGATGAAGAAGTGTAAATGGCTGTTGGTGAATTGTTATGACTGCAAGAGCCGATTTCTACCACAACAGAATGTTTAAACTTGTGCCATGATTGGACAAATGCAACAATATATTTTCCTGACTAGGCAGCGTCACATCCCAGGAAATATTACTCAGAATATTCACAGCTATGAAAACTTCAAATCTCATATACACTGTTAACTTCCTGAAGAGTACATGAAAAAAAAAAACTTGGCACTGGAATCTCCCAAATATGGGATCTCCTAGCCCATTCAGTGCTAGTATTGTTACTGCTTTCATGTTAAAAGTGCAGCATTCCATTCAGTTACACACAAGTATGCCAGCAACTCAAGATGGAGAAATTATGCATTAGTTTATGCTTTTCTAATTATTCTTAAGCTAGTACAGCTACTGAGGAGCCCACATAGCTCAGTCAGTATAGCAATGTGCTATGGGCAGGATGGCCAAGATTCAGTTCTTGGCAGGGGTAAGAGATCTTTCTCTTCTCTATAGTGTCCAGACCGGAACTGGGGCCCTATCCAGTGGTAAAGCAGCAGGGGCGTGAAGGTAACCACTCACCTCCATGTAGTGCGAGGTCAAGAATGGTGGAGCTATACCTCTTCTCCTCCATATGTCTTCATGGCATGGTGATTATTTCATTAAGAACAGGGACAACATTTCCTTTTACCTTATGGTTACTGACTTGTTTTCTTTTATTGCTAGTGGGGTTGGACTAAGTCCCTTGTACTGAGACCACTTCTGTCCTATGGTACCAGCCCCAGATGATAGGTGAGGGTGATTGTGGAGCAATTGGTGGAATGAAGATTGGCAGGGGAAACCGAAGTACTTGGTGAAAACCTGCCCACACAGGAAACTTTAAACATCTGACAAAAGAATCTTACCAACACATGAATGTCCAGATGGTGAGAGAATAAATCCACTGTGACACTGACATTTGAAGGAACCATCCATATTTATACACTGGCCATTTGCGCACATCCCAGTCTGACTACATTCATCATGGTCTGAAACACAACAGTGAAAATGTACAGTATCATATCTAGCTAAACATCTAGAATCATCATGTTAAGCTCAGAAATACTTAACATATTAATTTAATTTAAATAAAATTATATAGTATAGTAATGTCCTTATAGTTTATTATGAGGTTCATGTAAGTAATCAAAGAAGCTAGCCTGATTATTTCCAGATTGGATAAATAATATCAGAAATATATTCAAACATTCAATACATCAATTTTCATAATGTAAAGTGCCCATATTGCTATAAAAAATATATCACAAAACTTAACATCACACTGAAATCCTGTAGTATTCTGATGTGTAATCTTATTCAAATGATGTATGTATGTTCAAATAAAACATGCACTGTATTGCCCTCTTTACTTCTTGGTCAACTACTATATCATTTTCACATTTCATAACAAATTAGAATGAAATTATTTATAATAAATTAAGATACAGACAAAAGAGGGAAATATAACCAATGCCAACCTATACAAAGTCTTCCATCAGAAGAGACATCAAATCCTGGTGGACAGACACAGTGGAAACTTCCAGGAGTATTTGTACACTGCCCTCCTTGACAGTAGTTCAGTTCAGAGCATTCATCAATGTCTGCAAGTGCAAAGGATCACTTAAGGTATCTAATACAAATAATTTCCAATTACCTCATAAGGAATCAAACCCATGACCTTCCAGCTTGCAGCACAGTGCCTTAACCAACTACACTACCATGTGCAAACTATTGCCAAGGTCAAGAAAATGTGGATCTATATATCCACTCCCCCATACGCCTTCATGGCATAGTGCTTAATTAGTTAGGCACAGGGACAACTTCACCTTTTACCTTTAATACAAATAATTTAAGAGAGGGAAAGGTATCTTAAAGCAGTGAGAGTTGATTCGTTATAAGAAGCAGAACAATGTTTTCAAGTTATACATATTCATAGTGAAACGATGACTGGCCTTCACACACTTCAGACTCGCCCTTTCTATAGCCTGGGTAGCACTCGCACAGGTAGCCATCAGGGGTGTCAATACAATGTCCATTGCCACAAATGTTGGCTCGCAGAGCACATTCGTTCACCTGCGTGATGTCACCTGGGCTTGGATGGCACAGCCTTCTATAAGCCTCTAAAAATAAATTGAACAATAGTGTCAATTTAATTTTTAACTAAAACGTGCAGATTCACTTTGTTAATTGTTCCATTAGCATAACCCTTAATGTATGTAATGTAATGGGTTTGATCAATGCATTGCCATGCAACAGCTCTGTAGACACAGTCCAACATGCAACATTTCTGCACCATGCCCAGTGTTGCTAAGGGACCAATTAAATTGTTATCTGACATGTGACACTAGTTTTCTGTGTGGTCTGCACCATGAGACAATAGAGGGGCTGTGTTTTCTGTATGTGGTCTGTGCCGAGATGATATGAGAGAATACGGGAATTGGAATTAACTTCACCTGAGTTCCAAAGTTCCAAGGGAAGAGCAGTGTGGCCAGAAGAAGGATTAGAAGACAGTGTGTGACATGTGCTGTAAAACTGATATTGGGAATGTGTAATTTAGTGAGATTTTTACAATTCCTGTGTTATAAATCCATTGCCAGGAAATGGGTAGTGAAGACTAGTGGAAGTAGACTGAGAAGATTAGTGTGGAGTGATTGTAAATTGTGTAAATTAACAATGTTGTAATAATTATTTGTAGTTATGACCTGTAGGTTGTTAATAAATCTAATTACCAATCTGAACCCCATCTTTAGTCACTGATATACGTGACAGTATCTACTACTTCTACTCCTACCTCCAGTGAATTACACACTACAGTCCCACAAGGTATTTGGCAACATAACATATATGGTACTGAGTGGGTTGGCACAGTGGTAATGCTGTAGACTTGTATTCATGAGCTGATGGGTTCAAACTTTGGCCAGAATATGTCCAAATTGACTGATATTTTCTGCAGTTTTCAAGTCCCTCCAGTAAAATGGAGGGATAATACCCTGATCAGGCCATGACCGCTTCCTATAAAATTCTTTCCAAATTGTCAGTCATCCTACCATTTGTAAGATTTGAGGCTTTCACGGCGGTGACTATGAAGAAAGCAGTCTTCTGGGATTTGGCACCGTGTATATGTGGTGTTAACACCACATANGGGGGGGGGTGAACATACTCAGTATGCATTCCAGGATGCTAATAGGCTCATCTGATAAAGTGGCCCAAGCAAAAAACCTTTTGACTTGTCAGCGCGCTGACTATTCTGATTACAGCTTTCAGTGTTTGCAGATCAGGAAAGTTATCTCAAATTAGGCCATGACCACTTCCTTCCACATACCTTCCAACTGATTAGTCATTAATAATCTTACTATTTGATGCTATACACTCTACTGACAAGATCATTAAGTAAACCATAAATATGTAAAATATAATCATATAATGTTATTGATAGTGATACAATACTTCTAATTCCAGTAGGAAACATCAGTGCACATAAAACTGTATACGTGTAGTGGACTTCATTTGTAATCTTAACGACTACTTATAAACTGCATAATGAGAAGCTTCATAAATTGTACCCTTCTCCAAGTATAATTAGAATGATCAAGTCAAGGAGAATGAGGTGGGCAGGGCATGTAGCACGAATGGCGGTGACGAGGAATGCATATAGGATATTGGCGGTAAAGCCAGAAGAAAAGAGACCACTGGGAAGACCAAGGCGTAGGTGGGTGGACAATATTAAAATGGATCTTAGAGAGATAGGATGGGATAGTATGGATTGGAACTGATCTGGCTCAGGATAGGGACCAGTGGAGGGCTCTTGTGAACACGGTAATTAATCTTCGGGTTCCATAAAATGCTGGGAAATTCTTGAGTAGCTGCAGAATTGTCGGCTCCTCCAGAAGGGCTCAGCTCCATGAGTAATAATAACAGAGACTTCTAAACTACATGGCATTGATCTTACCTGTGTCAGGGGTGGGGCAGATGTCACAGTTGTCACCCCAACCTTTACCCATGTTCATGCCACAGCAGCAGTCCTTTTTAGAGAGTTTTATTGGAAGTCTGTTCTTGCACTGTCCAGTGCGTGTTACAGATGTGTAGCAGTTTCCCTGGCGTGCATCTAGGTACATGAAATAAGTCTGCATATATTCCAGACATCAGCATATACATTCTGAGTGGGTGACATTTGAAGAAGTTGAACAATACAAAGAGAACCACAAATATGAATCTGTTTTACTTGCACATTTCTCCAGCCAAAGAGACCCAAGAGGCTGGCTTATGTAATGATTTGCTGTAAAATGAACTTGGGTCTGGAAGTGAACATAACAGCTCTTTGTTGCTAGTCTTTTTATTGCTTCTAGTTGAAGAAAAAACTTCTCTCATGTACGCTTTTTGATTTGTGTTTTATAGCTTATACACTACTATGGGCTTTAGGGCTTCATAGTGCATCAGAGTTCTCCCATCTCCTCTAAACACAGATTACTTTATGTTCCATATAGAAATATTTGAAATGTATGTTTGATTGATATCAAAATCTTTCCTACATATAAAGACAGGAATGCAGTGAGGAAGAAAGAGGGTTGCCTTTGTTAAAGCAAAACAAGGTTTATAGTTCCACCTACTTTAAATTCAAGGATATCATTTGTTTGGCTACAATTTGTGCCTCAAAATATAAACAGAACAGGGTGCAATGTTATGGAATTTGACATACAGTACATATATTGAGGTAGTTCAGTAACTGTATTAATTATAATACAGGCTCCATGATAGAAACAGGGTTCAATTGCTGGTGGTTCCAGGGATTTCTCTCTTTCTCATTGCATCCAGACCGATTCTGAAAACCACCCATCTCCTATACAATGCGTGAATTCAAACATAAAAATAACCACTTAACTCCATTTCATTCTAAAGGCTAATAGAGATTAGAGCAACACCTCTCCTCCCATCGACATGTTCATGGCAAACTGCTTGATTAAGCACAGGAACTAATTTACCTTACTTTCTCTAAATATTTTTGCTAAAATATATATTTATGCCTCTCTAAATGCATTTGCCTAGTATGTCCCAAACACTTGGCCGCGCCATAGCTCAAGCAGTTAGTTGTTGGCTTCCCACTGCGGCGGTCCGGGTTTGATCCAGGGTCTGGTCAAGTGGTATTCGTGGTGGACAAAGTGGTGCTGAGGCAGGTTTTCTCCGAGTACTTCGGTTTCCCCTGCCAATCTTCATTCCACCAAGTGCTCCACAAACACCCTCACCTATCATCTGGGACTAGTACAATAGGCCAGAGAGTGGCCGCAGTACAAGGGACTTAGTCCCACCCCACTAGCAATAAAAGAAAGTCCCAAACGCTGTACATATAAATATGTCATAATATGATGAACTATGCTCACAAATATCTGGATTCTGTATGAATAGATGAATAGTAAGTTCTCTGTATGGCAATGAAACTGTTTCCATTATATAAATCATAGTAGGAAAATTCAAATCAAAGAATACAAATAATATTACAATATAGAGTAACTATACATGTCTGTTAAGTACCTATGCATCCCTTCCTGTCTTGGCTGGGAATAAAGCCTTGGTTACAAACGCAGTAATATGAACCATCAGTGTTAACGCAACGTCCATCCAGACAGAAACCGGCTTCCTTGCACTCATCACGATCTTCACATTCATTGGTTTCTATATTTCTTGCCTGTCCTTCAGGGCACTCACATTTGAAAGAACCCACTGTGTTAACACATTTGCCACCTTGACACAGACCTGGGATTGCTTCACACTCATCAATATCTGCAGACATAGAGAATATGCAATTTATCCACCTATACAGTTCATTCTATAGTCATCACAGAGCACCACCTTTACATATGGACTACTGAAATTAAATATCAGCATACAAAACAGTACATACATGCTGAGTTAAAATACTGCCATATATTAGAAGACAAAAATCTTGAATTACTCTTATACTAATGGAAGAGTTCAGAGACTATAAAGGAGTATTCATACTGTGACTTAAGATTCTGTACTCTAATAATTCAATACTTACTATTAGGAATATTTATCTCAGAGTCATATTGTGTATGAACAACTTATTATTGGTTCCATTATCATAATTCGTGCATAAACTTTATACCGTATTTACGCATGTATAGGCCGCAGCACAATTTTCAGACAGAAATTATAGAAAAAATAATTTTCTTGGAATATTATTTCAGGAGTATTACACCCTGTATTACTAATTATGAATATATTTTTTTTAAATGAAGTGTGATTTCGAATATTTCGAATATAAGCCGCACCCCAGTTTTCCTCTTGAATTTTTGGCAAAAAATGTGCGGCCTATACATGCGTAAATACGGTATATTATTTTAAAACATGTTTTGGCTCTTTATGGCCAGCATCAGGTAAAATATTTTCAAAATATTAGTGTTTCATTTGTTGTAGATTGGTGTTGTTAAATTATGTTGATTTCTTGATCACTGCAGAAATGGTCTTCTCTGCAATGCCAATGTATAAAATTATATGCTAAAATATTGTTACATGTAGGGTGGTATGCGTGATGAAATGATGGGTTCTAGTTCAGATGATTGGAATTAATAGCACCCTCCACGAACATCTGTCCATTAACATTCACTTGGCAAACAGAGAGAGAACTGACAAATGTAAGCAGTTTTGTATACATTAAGATATACATAATAATTAGCAGATAACGGTTTAACCTCTGGAAGTTCAAATATAGATACCTACATGGACTTTAATGTGTGCGGATGGAAAAAGTTATGAGTCATGTTTGAGGTTAGAATATTTCACATGCCCTATGCATGTAGCCATTTATATCAAGATGGAAATTAATAAAATATGCAGTGATGTCTGACATTCATTTTCACACATACATTCCACTGTCAGAATCCCACACGGTGACCCACTTCTATGCCACACACAATCAGAAACTAACAAGCATTTCATCTGGCAGCTAGAGTGGTGCATGAAAAACAACACTGCATGTCCACCATTATATAATTCACAGCAGACATCCAGAGATTACCCATTAGCCATACTAACTATAAAACTGAGGGTCTACTGTAAGAAGAAATGCAGAGAACAATGATAGCATTCTTTATTAAAAAGTGCACATAAGAAAATACTACATACTTCACAGTGATGTTATTTATGATCATAATAGCTGTACTCGATGATCTACCATTAGCTCCCTCCTTAAACAAATGGCAATTAATCACAATCTGCACTGAAATAATTTCTTAATCAGTCCATTAGCACTAAATTATAACATCCTTAATTTTGTTATACCAGGAAAGAAGGATTCTTTGTGAACGTACCTGAGACTCTTACACTCATTTACTGACATCCATGATGATAATTTCCAAAAAGAACAAGTAACCGCTTTCTAAGAATTATTTAGGAATAGATGTTCCTGCTAACTGTGGGAGCTATTCTTGAGCAATCCTTGATCTGTGCATGTCAAAACGTTGATATGTCTGAATATTAAAGTCCCTTGTTCACTTTAAATGAAGAAAGTATATGGGAAACTGGATGCATACAATGAGAACATTTAAACTTTAGCCAAGATATTCAGTTTTGGAACATGATCTATGGGCACCTGGAGAGGAAGTTCGAAGTATTATTTTGTGAAGTTAACCTGACTGATTAGAACAATATCATCAAATTCTTTAAATTTATTTTGGAGGAAAGGTGATTCAGAGCTTTGTATATCTTTAACAATAAAGACAAGAGGAAAGAAAACCCCATTTTATTCATATTACGGAGTACTGGCTAGGAAAGGGAAACATGTGCAGCAAGTGTCACTAAAAAAGAACAAATTTCTCCTTAAGAATTTGGTAATGACAAGGTACCTGGTTCCCTGAATGGATGTATATATTTTAAAAATTAAGTTACAACAGAATGAAATAATATTATGCATGCAGCACAAGAAAATTACAACACGCTTTCAATTAGACTCTTACCACACAAAATAAAATTATTTTTTTTAATAAATCCCTCAGATTATAGAAACTCAACTGACATTGCAGTTCTGCTCAACTGAGATCCAAGACTTGAACTTTTGTCAGCAATGTTCATTTTTCTTAGCTCAGTTCACAGTTCCTTCAGAAAAGAAATCTGAAATTATTTAAGACCCTGCTTCCTGTCTGAAATTGACAATCATGGTATTCGTATCAATGTTTGATTTGACACCTGGTCTTCACAAGCCGACTTCTTATTCTTCTCCAAGTAATGACATTGATTTGGAGATTTTACCCCCATGTGGAGGCGGGGTCGAATACCTCCACCGTGACCCTGCAAATCCTAGGAGATGACAAAAGGGAAGTCTCAAATGTGAGAAAGTAAAATATGATCACACGTCCCAAGGGACTAGGACCCGAGAAACACTGCGCTGGCAAGGGCCAGCATATACAAAAGACAGACCCATCCTCTCGTCAGAGAGGGCGCCCCACAGAAACAAGACTGTAACCGTCAAGTAATAAATATCTGGTCATGAGCCCCAGGAGGGTGCTCGATACCAAGATTTACTGACTGGCTGACTGTCAGTCACAATATGACTTTGACTTTGACTATGAGTAAGTCCTGAGCTCTTGTTAGAAGGTAGCCATGGAAGGTTCATCATGGAAGAAGAATAAGAAGTCGGCTTGTGAAGACCAGGTGTGTGATTAGAAGGCTTTATTCATGTGTAATATTTGGAGTCATTTGAAGCACTAGTTCCTGTGCTTTAATTGTGTTACCAGGAGAGGCCTAGTGTGTGTAAATCATCGATAGCATCGTTCAAGCAATATTAAGGTTCTGCATCAGCAATTTGAATGCTGTAATGTTAGAATTACTGAGGGGATGGATCTAGAAATCACACCGTTGAGACTGGGTCAGGTGCCATAATACATACATCACGTTTCATAAATACTGGTTCAGGCGTTCAAAAGTTAATTGGGGTAAAACACATACAGACAGACAGACACACATATATACACACACACACACACACACAGAGGAAAGTGATCCAATATCTCTTTCATTTTTATAAAATAAGGAAAGTGGGCTAATAAGAAAACAGGGACAATCTCATTGTTCTTAAAATTACTTTACCAGCATTTATACCAATTTTGACATTTACTAATAAATTCTAGACATAGGAGAAAATTTATAATTATATACGGAGCAACATGGACAGCAAATATTTGTAACTACAAGTCTGTCCATTAATATAGCGCACCATATCTTACATATTCTTGTGTATAAANTTAATGGAAATTTTATTTTATTTTAGTCCATGATAAATCTTGATAAATTTCTTGATCATTGTTTAATGTGTATTATAAGTATTATAAGTTTACCTCATTTAATTGCAATATTACTGTATTATTGTATAGATACTATGTATTCTAACTTGACTTGTTCCATATCCTATGGTGTCTCACCTGTACTGGATTTATGGAAGGTAAATAAATTCAATTCAATTCAATTCAGTTTACATTTATATCTCATTCATGAATTCATGACACACACTTGTTCACATTTTGCTTTTAATAAGCATTAAGAACCACTGACTTACCAACACACAGCCCACTGTGGATGTTCTTGAGATAGCCTTCATCACAATCAAGGTGTGTAGGACATTTTTCACAGGGATGACCCCATGCTTGACCCACAGTGGCACAACAAAGCTGTTTAGTACACACCACTCCTTGTAGCTGGCCTTGGCACATGTCATTCTTCACTCGGGTAAAGCAGGGACCTGTCCGGTAGTCTGTTAACGAGAATGCCGTGCAACATGTAGCAGTGAAAACGTGAACAGTTTCGATATAATATTTCATGCTCATGCTGCTATACCAGGCATGTCCAACGCGTCAATCGCAGGACGATTTTTGGTCAATCTCATAGGCCTATATGGAAATTGTACGTGAAAAGCATGTAAATTCACTTGTAATATAAAATAAGAAAGAGATCACAGCTAGTATTCAAGATCTTTAATTATCAAGAAACACGACTGTGTGGCAAATAGAAATGATGTGTGGAAACATAGCTGAACAGTTGTTGAAAGATGTTTCCAATTGTGTTGCTGTCTCCCTCCAACTGGATGAATCTACAGACATCAGACACAGCCCAGTTACTTGTTGCTTTTACAACAAACATCATGTGTCGTGTTATTTTTACCAATATTTTTGCTTAAAGTGAGGTACGAAGGGGGAGGTAGATGACTGGCAGTTTTGACACTAAAAAGTCGATCACAACCTGTTTGAAGTTGGGCATGCCTGTGCTATACTATATAAGCTGCCAATCAACTGAAAATATTTTTACATGGTTTTTCACTATTCAGCCTTATTCTTCTATTCAGGATTGATCTTCAGTCAAAACTATAAAAGAGCTAGCAATATCTCTTCTTTGTTGTGAATGGTAATTGGTAATCTCTCCTGTGACATTCTGTCTTCTTCTTCTGTTTAAATTTATTTTGTTTCTTATAGCAGACATATGTTCATCTTCTCTAATACGTATCAATTGTATTCAAGTACATCATAATTGCAGCTTAAACCATTTCATTTCTGCAGACTGTCTTCTGGTTTCATCTATCTTTGTGAGAGAAGAAAACAGAGATGAAGTACAGTAAGCTGTATAAATTTCAACCATGCACATTTCAATGTTGGCTGCATCATGTGAAATTAACATCCTTCTCCCTCAGTCTGTCTCTCCAACAGTAAATGTTTGGAACCCAAAGGTAAAACTACAATTTTAACTCATAGCACAAAATTCACTATAACATAATCAATACAAGCTCACAAACATGCACTTTCCTTGGAAAGAAAATTCTGCTGTAAAAACTGTACATATTGCACTTATCTGAGTATATACATGTATATCTGGATGTTGAAGTAAGTGGGAAAAGAGCTGATATGAATGTTGAAATTAATGTTAAGATATTTTTATTCTTCATGGAATGTAAAGCATTCACACATAAGTAAGAACAAGCAGCTCTACAATTGTTCATAATTGGGAAATGGATCTAATTGTAATAATTTTCATATAAACAATGCAGTAAACTGATAATGATGTTAAATAACTCTTTCAGGTCAAAAATCCTGCTGCTGAGTAAGTTTCATAAAAAATAATTAATATCTATGTTAATATTAATACTTATATTAATTTTTATTATAATATTTATATTAATTTATTTCTACCCATAGTTCCTTTTTTATATGTACATATATTTTGGAACATTCAGTATCACTGAAGTACTCATAAAAAGTTTTTGTAACAGGCTGATAAGACCAACATTTCTCAATTAAATCATATATTGGCAAGTATAATATTGAGTAGATCTTCTGGGACTAGGCTGTGGTCATGTGAAATGCATTCAACTGAAAAACTTTTGTGGTTACGGTAATGAACATTCAGATTCCATAACTACATGCAATTTTTTTAATATTTCAATACCTATTAATTGCCAAACCCAAGGGATTTACATGGCTTATATGTGAAATGAAAAACTTTTATCAGAAAATTGTTTGCTTCAGTTCTATATTAGCATTCTGGTAAGATAAATCACATGTATTTTGCTGTAATATTCTCTAAGTTATGAGTTACCTCAGCACCAACATATAATTACCAGCTTCACATCTTCTTCCTGTAAATCCATAGATACAAGCACATCTGTCTGGTCCAATACATCTGCCACCATTCAGGCACGGCTCTCGGCATACAGCTGGCAATAGAGAGCATTATTAATTCGGACCTAATGTGCCAAATAAGTGGTTCAGTAATTTAAACTTACAACAATTCTGAATGCACATAATCTGTATCAGTGTTTCAGAATGAAGAAACTTACTGATTTGCCATAAATAAAGAGAGACACAACTACAAAACTGTAACAGTAATTATAAAATATTTGTTGGCACTATACCAAAGGCTGACATTTTCTAATGCTACTCCCTAAAATGTATGCGGTAGCATAGTTGGTTGAGACACTATGCTACAAGCCAGAAGGTCATGGCTTCAAGTCCCGATGAGGTCACTGGATTCTTTCAATTGACCTTATCCTTCCAGCCGCACTATGGCCCTGGGATCGACTCAGCCTCTAACAGAAATGAGTACCAGGAATTAATTAAATAATTTTCCTGGGGAGTGAAGTTCGGCCGGTGCGTAAGGCTGACAACCTTACCTCCATCTTTGAGCCAAATGTCTAGATAATGTGGGACTCTCAACTTCTCACAACCCTATAGGCCTTCAGGGCCTGTTACAGGGATAGCTTTACTTTTACTTTTTTTTTTTTACTTTTTACTACAATGTGGGATATTTCATTTCAAGTGAGATATTGTTATGGGGGTATTTTATTTTGTTATATATTCTATCTTTTATGTGGTTGTCTCCTGTCAGCTACTATTTGATGTAATGGATATATTTTGATGAAGTATTGCTTACATTCATCCTTCCACCGAATTTCTTATGTTTCAGAGAGAAATTTGTGACTTCTGCTGTGTACTCTATTTCCTACATATTTTTGTGTTTCATGATGTTCATTTTATTCAATACAGCTCAAATTTTAGTATGATAACAATGATCCATCTCTAACTGTGGATGAACAGTTAATTTAGAATATGTCAGTCTTTGGAAGAGAAGTTTATTGGGTGCCATATCGTTGAGACAGATGTCAAACTTAGAAAGGCTGCCAATTTTCTAAGAATTCTACCAACTTCTGTTGCTAACAAGGGTGTCAGTTAAGGAAATGCAGTGTAGTTTCCAAGTTAACACCATAAAACAGAACAAAAGCACTGTTTGGTTATTTTTCCAGAACTAAAATGGCACTTTCTAAGAAGAAATTCTGTAATGACATACAGGTCTATGTTAAACTGTGCTAATAAATTAGAGGTTTGTGTTATGAACATTACATTTTATGAAAGCACTGTTTGGCTTCACAAAATGAAGCAATCCCCTCCCCCCCACTACCAAAACTATTGGCAAATCTTCTAATCTTCTTTTTTTCTGGAAATAAGAAATATTCAATATTGGCACTCCTTAGACTGGAAAACTGTTTTTCCCTTTCTGGTGTTGAACTCATTCCCATCTACGTGTTACACTGCATACGGCACCACAAAGGGGATTTCATTAAATAACCGGCAGATAAAGTTGTATTTCTGGAGTTATGTGGCATATAATCAGTGTTACATGCAGAAATGGACTTACTGTTTGGTGTGTCACTTTCCTGAAACGACATTTAACTTTTCAGTTTAATAAGAAACTAAAAGCTGTATTTCTGACATAAACTGTTTACAAGAGACTTCAATGGGAAGGACATCCTGGCTGTAGACTCAACAAATTGTCTACTGAAGTGACCATTATATTATTTATTGAGCCCATATGACCATGTTGTCAACATTATTCAAACTGCACATCTGCCAAACATATGATGATCTCTATTCTGATGATAGTGGTTAAGAGAACATGAATGTCAAATGTGTGGTCATGTGATGGTAGTGACACTCAGGCCTGAGGCTCTGAAAATTTCAGATGAGTGTTGGCCCTTTAGCATTAAATCAATGGTAGGGTGCAAATAACAGTGAGACCACTGAACTGAATAACAGGAGAAATGAGGGCTCCCATGTAAACCTTCCCCAACAAAGGTGTGTCTACCACATTATTCACTTAGACGAACAAAACAAACTCCGTGGTTTTAGTCCGCAAACGAACTATATCGACCGAGCGACCGCTGCTTGTTGGCGAAGTTAGTGCCAACTTTAGCAGATAGAGGGTGTCACGTGGTTAGCGCAACGAATCCCCGACGACATTAAATTCGGTTTTCTATACCAGAGCCACTATTTCCTTGAAATAGCTCCTCAACTGTACTCACGAGGCTGAGTGGATCCCGTTCTAGACCCACTACTTCTCAGAAAATTTGGTTGCGTCGGGTATCGAATCCGGAACCTCTGGATCTGTAGCCAGGAACTCTGACCACTAGACCACAGAGGCGATCATTATTCACTTAGACTAATCAGATATCAAATATTGGATAAATGGAATGTATGCCCTGTGACACTCATTTTTAATAGTCACGGAGCTTCATAACAGAGTCATTAAACTACAACCATGTTAATTATTTAAGATTTGAGGTTTTTACGGCGGTGACTATGAAAAAAGCAGTCTTCTGGGAAGTGGCGCCGTGTAGATATGGTGTTAACCGACGTTTCGGAGGAATATATCCCCTCCATCTTCAGGGTAGAAGGAAAAATAAGAAAATCCGCAAGCGAAGAATCATATAGCTGAGTTTATTTCCGATATTAGTCTGCTTACACCTCTTCTCACTGTTTCTTCGCTTGCGGACTCTCTTATTTTTCCTTCTACCCTGAAGATGGAGGCGATACGTTCCTCCGAAACGTCGGTTAACACCACATCTACACGGCGCCACATCCCAGAAGACTGCTTTCTTCGTGTTAATTATAACACATCTGCCCAGCTTCCTGTACTTTATTGCTGAATTTGTAACAGTGAAACCTAGTTCCCTGTGAACGTGTCTCTCATACTACTGTGATAAATCAAGTTTGTTTCATGGTTAATCCTCCCAAACAAAACTGTTTTGGGATCTTCCAACTTATCTCTCATGTATAAAACAAATTTCTACTTTCACTTCAGATTTCCTACCATTCTTTGTATTAAAAAGTCTGAGCCCATAAATTACTCTGCAGTAAAATATCAAAGAATATTAGCATAAATAATAATAAACTTACGTTCTCCACAAAATTCGCCCTGATAGCCAGGTCTACACACACACTTAGAGCCACTACATGTTCCTCCATTTAAGCAAGCGGCTTGACATGTACTTCCATTTCTTCCATCTGAAAAAAAAATACATTCACAGCAATACTCGTACAGTGTGTTACGTTGTGGTAGTCTAGTTATGAGCGCTACCAATTTTAGAATGGGAGTAGCAGAACTGCTCTTCACCCGTGAGGCCTACAAGCCCTCAACTTAATATCAGATCAACGTTCTCAAAATTTCGACTCAGCCTCTAACAGAAATGAGTACCAGGAATATTATTGGGGGTAAAGGGCGGCCGGCGCGTAAGACTGACAGCCTCACCACCATCTGTGAGCCGAATGTTTAGAAAATGTGGGAACCTCAACATCTCACAACCCTATGGGCCTCCATGGCCTGTTACAGGGATATCTTTACTTTTACTTTTATATCGTCAAGGGCGAATTTAATAGCGGCACAATTGGCACAGTACTTCTATTTCTTGCACTGCATCTTTCAGTACTGGGAAATATCCAAAATAAATAGTCCATTATAGCAAATTTAACTGTTATCATCTGAATAAATGGAAAACTTACGCATTTTGAGAAGGAAGAGTCTCCAATTTCTTCTGACCCTGAGCTTATCAATCAGTTCAAAGTCACATGCTTACATTGAGCAGTTCATGGTTATTTAACCGTTGCCGTGAAACGCGAATATTCACTCAAAACCCAGCCACTGAACCCTATTCTCAGCCAGTTTAATTCAACTCACATTTCTGTAACTTATTTACTTAAAACAGGGCTCTCTACGGGAACCGCACGCGGTCAGCCATTTAGCTTTGTGAGGTTCATATGAGTACATATCCATTCACCAAATCACGTGTTAACACTTTGTTCCTCATTAAAAATGTCGGCGAATCTTGCAAAAGAAAAGAATCCTTACGACACGTGGTTAATAAATATTTCGTAAAAACTCGCGAAATACTTCGATGGCTGTAGCTTATATCCCGAAGCTTATTGACTTGCCAAAATCATGCGCGAATATATCTTTATTTTACAAAATTGTCAAGAACTCGGCGATCCCTCCTTTACAGTAGGCTGCGACATATATTTTCACAAACCATGGGCGACGTGACTGTAAATCCCAGTATACTGATGCAACCGTTGCATTGACGCCCGATGTTAGGCAACTAGGACGAAAGAAATGTTAGTTGGGTTGCCTCGATTGAGGGGCGATGCCTCGTTCGTGCAGATAGGTGTGTGGGAGAGAACCATATGTTCAGAGTTAGAAAGCATAGAAAGCGCCAATGTTTGACTAAATCTATATTATTGATAGAGGGGGCTGGTCAGTCTCACGTCCAGGTTACTTAATCCCGGGCAAAGGACCCCTGAATCCCACTGGATAGGAGACTGGGTGGGCCTTACGCGCCGGCCGCGCTGTACTCCCAAGGAAAATTATTTAATTAAACGAACTCCCACAAGCATTTTTTTATCATTTACACCACCCGGCGTCAGGTAAATCTGATAGTGGCTAATATACAATACCGACACCTAAGGCACTAGTCGGAGGTGACGCTTTACCCCAGGGGAAAGGCCTCCCGGTACCCATTACATAGGAGGCAGGGTGGGCCGCAGAACCGGGCTGAACGACGTGGGGAAGAGAAAATTTTTGCCCTTACCGACACTCAAACTCCGACCCCTCGGTCGTCCAGCCCGTAGCCAGTCGCTATACCGACTGCGCTATCCCGGCTCTAAAGAAAATGATATACTTTTGTTAATGTGCTCTACATCTGGCAGAAACTGGAGCTTTATCAACGACAATTTACTACAAAAATCTGACAGAAAATAAGTTTGACACGTCACTGAACGGAAATAAATGTATGTAGGATGGAATGGAAAGATGAAATGAAGAAATCAGAAGAAAGTAAAGAAACAGGGAGAATGATAAGAAAAACAGAGGAATCTATATATGAGGAAGTCCTTACCTGGTCTTTGCTGCTGCGAAGACGGAGGAGGACATGAGGAAGAGACCGTGCCTCCGTCACACAGACAGATGTTGGGCTTGATGCATCGGCCAGAGGCGCCACACGACCGCGAGCAGATCGCTGTGAATGCAATTAACAAATTCCATTAGGGGTATACAAGCATCAAACAGCCTAAGTGGAAATCCACTGTACGAGTATTGCTTAATTTATGGATAAAACTTTAAAAAAAAACTGACACAGACGAAACATGACATACCGAAGGAGCAACTGAAGAGTATCAGAACGATTTAAAAGAGTGTACTTCGTAATGTAATTTTTTTTTCGAATGGCTCTTCCGGTCCGTTCAGGGCCCTAGCCTCTTATTCAGTTCCGTAACCAATTTTCAAAGGCGGTAGGACTCCTTGGACGGGGGATTAGTCCGTCGCAAGGTCTCTACCTAAATATAGGACAACAGAAACACAGAATAAACGCATACACACACAAAACATCCATGCCTTAATTGGGATTCGAACCCATGATCCCAGCGTCCGAGCTAAGACAGTGCCATGTCTTAGACCGCGCGGCTACTGTGACCAGCACTTCGTAATGTATCCCCCCCCAATGGCTCTTCGAGCCCATTCAGGGCCCTGGTCTGAATTCGCCCAAAAAAGTTTGGTGTACATTCTTCATCACTAAATTTAATCGAAATTCGATCAGTACTTTTGGCGATAAAATATGCTAATGGACACTGCCGCTTCCAAATTCAGGGCTGAAGTCGGCAGCTACCTAACTAGTTAACTTACTTACTTACTCATGGAGCCGAGCCCTTCTTGATGAGCCGCTAATTCCGCAGCTACTCAAGAATTTCCCAGCATTTTATGGAACTCGAAGGTTCATTACCGTGTTCACAAGAGCCCTCCATTGGTCCCTATCCTGAACCAGATCTAGCCAATCCATCCCATCCCATCCTATCTCTCTAAGATCCATTCTAATATTTTCCACCCACCTACGCCTTGGTCTTCCTTGTGGTCTCTTTCCTTCTGGCTTTCACACCAATATCCTAAACGTATTCCTCGTCTCCCCCATTCGTGCTACATGACCTGCCCACCTCATCCTCCTCGACTTGATCATTCTACTTATACTTGGAGAAGAGTACAAGTTATGAAGCTCCTCATTATGCAGTTTTCTCCAACCTACTGTGATTTCATCTCTCTTTGGTCCAAATATTCTCCTCAACACCCTGTTCTCAAACACCCTCAGTCTATGTTCCTCCCTTAATGTCAGAGACCAAGTTTCACACCCATACAGAACCACAGGCAAAATTATAGTTTTGTATATTCTAATTTTTGTTTTTGGACAACAGACGAGAAGACAGAAGGTTCTGGACTGAATGGTAGAACTAGTTAACTAGCTGACTTTATCTCCGAAGATGGAAGCACCATGTTCCTTTGAAACTCTGACATCCAGTAACAAGACTACCGGAGTCATAACCTTGAAGACCATACGTAAATATGAATAAACACTTCAAAGGGTATATCTGCTGGCAAATAAGTCACTTCCGTCTTATTCGTTAACCAGAGGCTATTTACGCGATTTTCGTATTGGCGGAAGGCAGTCAAGTGCCGCTGTTTTTTTTTTTCACACACTCCCAGTCAGCTCGGTCGCAAGATATCAATTCTGTTCTGAAATTTTCATTTGAGCTCCCGAATAAAATCTGTGCTGCTGCAAGTTGAAGCCGTCAGAGCACAATCAGAAACATGGCGGTAGAACTGAACTGGCAAGTAAAACGTAGTTCAGGAGATTAGCTGCCGGCTTCCCACCGCGGCCGTCCGGGTTGGATTCCAGGTCATGTGGCATTTGTGGTGGATAACGTGACAGTGGGGAACGTTTTCTACGAGTACTTCGGTTTCTCCTGCCAGTTCACATTCTACTAACTGCTTCATATTCATTACACATCCTATCACCGACGCTATATGTAGTCTCGATACTGACAAAACAACGAACTCTGTGGTTTTAGTCCGCAAGCGAACTATACCGACCGAGCGACCGCCGCTTGTCGGCGAAGTTAGTGCAAACTTTTGCGGATAGGGGGTCTCGCGTAGTCAGCGCAACGGATCCCCACGGCCGTTTATTTCGGTTTTCTAGACCGGAGCTGCTATTTCCTTGAAACAGCTCCTCAATTACCCTCACGAGGCTGAGCGGACCCCGTTCCAGACCCACTATTTATAAAAAAAAACTGGTAGCGCCGGGAATCAAACCCGGACCTCTGGATCTGTAGCCAGGAACTCTGACCACCAGACCACAGAGGCGGTCCGCCCGAGTATACCAAGAAATGAGAAAGACGGAGAAGATGATTTTAATGCTGAATACGGTCGGCAATTCAGAGACAAGCAGACTATATTCCTCTCGTCTGCTAATTTGGGGATAACGGCAGCCATAATTAACCTCTGATTTTAATTTGTCCGCTTGTGTGGCAGAGTAATATTTTGTATAAGCAATCAGACAACCATTCATTGCATTAGGCCTTGTGAGATAAGATTACCGTATACTTGTTTCCAGCCGAGGTAAACCGCTGGGATAGTCTGTAGCCTGCGTGGGGCAATATTAATGAAAGAGATGAAAACACGTGGTATTGAATTAAAATGAATGCCTGGTCTTCTAAAGGAACAGGGCTGCTTCTTAAGAATGTATACAGGAGACCCGCAATTGTCTGTCTGTCCTCTTATTGAATTTCAGAAATCAATATTATAACCAGGGTCCGGATTTTGATGACATGTCATCTCTTTTTATCCTTGTATCCTATGCGATGCTCTTAAATATATAAATCTCGGATATGAGCTGCTGGTTACAGAAATGTAAATTTTATAGGTAATTTTTTGACATTTTTAGGTTTAAGATAATTTTTTCATTTTGGGGGTAATTTTTTTGACATTTAAGGGTATTTCTTGTCATTTTTGGTCATTTTAGGGAATTTTTCTTCATATGTTTTCTGAAATGTGAATAACATGGAAGCGAAGTGTTCTTTCTTTTCTCCTTTAGGTCATTTTTCTGGATTTTTTCGGTCATTTCCTAGGTCATTTTTTAAATATTTTCAGGCCATCAAAAGCCGAGCCCTGCATATTACATTTTTGGGTCATATTTTAGGTCATTTTTCTGGATTTTTTCTGTCATTTTATAGGTCTTTTTTAAATATTTTCAGGTCATCAAAATCCGGGCCCTGATTATTATATACGAGTAGGCAGCATCTGGCCGACTTTCGTCAAAATGGAGATGAATGTCATGCCTCACCTTCACAGACTTTATGCACTGAACAACATCAACATGGAAACCATGTGAGCTTGTAAGGTGTGAGAATGTATATATTGCAAGATTTCAAATTCTGTATGGTCACATACTATAAAAAATATGCAACTTTAATTCAAGAACGTTTTAAAGAAACTGGAAAATTATGATACAGGAACATGGCATGGTGCAAATGACCTGTGAAATTCGTAAGATGACATGAAAATATATTCAACTGTCGTGTTCTGTTAACATATACAGTGTCTAATACTTCGGAACACATAAATATATATCGTAAACGGCGATTTCTTTTAGTACCTTTTCAACGATAATAAAACGCTTGCCTACAGAAGTATTTGTGAGATTTATGGGTTAAATGAGGCCGCGCCATAGCTCAAGCGGTTAGTCGCTGGCTTCCTATCGCGGCGGCCCGGGTTCGATCCCGGGTCTGGTCAAGTGGGATTTGTGGTGGACAAAGTGGCGCTCGGGCAGGTTTTCTCCGAGTACTTCAGTTTCCCCTGCCAATCTTCATTGCACCAATTGCTCCACAATCACCCTCACCTATCATCTGGGGCTGGTACAATAGGCCAGAAGTGGCCGCAGTACAAGGGACTTAGTCCCACCCCACTAGCATTAAAAAACAGAAAACATAATGTTCTAATTACGAAGACAAATCTGTCAATGATGTTTAGGGAAGCAGTCGCTGTTTATTATGATAATTATATGAAACCCATATATACCCTCTGTTGGCAAAATCTATAGAGATGTCAATGTTAAAGCAGACGGTACATATAAGTAATAATATCTGGAAGGCAAAGAGGAAAGAGACCTGGGATGGGAATCAACTGAAAAAAAAATCCTTAATTCATCATTCACACCGAAAAAAGACAATTAAAGACATAATTTTATTGCCACTCAGCAGGGCCTCCAGTCCCTCACATATTCCTCTTCTGTGTGATTACAGGAACTGATATAGCGAAGAGATTTACATTCCCCAGTTGCATACTACGTAAGATTATTGTTATAACACGTATCTTTCTTTTGTCTGTGTGTGTATGTGCTCGTTTTATCTGTCTTCTTGTTTCTGATTACATTATGATTGGCCGTTGGGCTGGAAACCTGTTAAAATTAAATTATTATTATTATTATTATTATTACTTTTGAAATTATTATATACTGCCTTGTTTTGTATTTTGTTTGCATTTTGTTGTTGTTTCGTTCTTCTTACTTGTTCTAACTTCGTAACTGGCTTCTGGGCTATTACGTTTACACGTAACTAAATAATAACTGAACTGAATTACTATTATTATTATGCGGTTAGTCCTAACAGACGTAGCATATGTAATGGAGTTGTCTGGAACTCTAATGCCTCTGTTGATGCCAACAAACTGGAACGCATCCAGCAGAAGTTTGCAGCCCTCTCATTTAATTGTTTCTTTCCCCATGTCCATTACGCCTCATAGCTAGTCGGGGTAGCTCAATCGGTATATCGACTTGCTGCGGGCTGGACATCCGGGGTTCGGTTCCCGGCCGGGGGCAAGGGAGTTTTTTCTATTTAACAACGTCCAGATCGGCTCTGGGGTGCACTCAGCCTTCTATCTAATAGATAACGGGCCCTCTTTCCCAGGGCTAAAGCGGCCAGGAGGTGAAGCTGAGAACTCACCTTCGTCCACTGCAAAAGTCAAGAATAGTGGAGCTATACCCCCATTCCCCACACGTCTTTATGATGTGGTAGTTAAATAAATAAACACAGGGATAACTTTATCTATTTTACCTTTCACAATTATGTCTTGGGGCACGTAAAACTGCACATGTTACATTACATAAGAGGAAGTAACACACCTTGACGAACTGTTCCTTCTTCAAGCCCACTTTGGTTCTGCACTCTGTCCATCTCTTTTGGAAACTGCTGGTCCTCGAGTTCCTGTTCAGCATATCAGAGACTTTGCTTTGATCAAAGTTCCCCCCCCCCTTTGGGGCTGCAGCCCAATTTTGGCCTTGGCCTACCTCCATGAAACTCTCCGTTTCACTTCGGGTTTACTAGATCTTACACATTCGGTAGGACTCCTTGGGCGGGTGATCAGCTCGTCGCAAGGCCTCTACCTGTACACAAACACATACATCTACCAAACATCCATGCTTTAGTGGGACTGGAACCCACGATCCCGGCTTCCGAGCGAGCTACCGTGACCAGCCTTGATCGATGTTTATTCCTCAAGAAAGAGCTGCCCTTGTGAATATGCTCTTCAGCTGATAATATTGTTTGCAGGGACGTTGACGCATTTGGAACCAAAACTGTTTTCCTTAATCGTGTTTTATAGTGGTTCTTTGTTCTTATTAAAATATTACTGTATTCAATATGAATGTAAGTATATATTTTTCCCTCGCTGCCAAATGGCTGAGCGATTGCACTTATTGAATTTATATAATTGTCTGAGTGACACAAGTTGCCTTGTTTTGTCTTTTGCCTTTATTTTTATACATGTTTTGTCGGTTCCCAACTTTTCTTATGCTTATTCTGTTACTTGTTTTTGGACTATTCAGCCACCACGTAAATAAACAGGCTACAGGACTGAACTGCACATCAATAATTTCACTGGCTTGTGAATATCCTGTGGTCACTCCTGAAAATTACGAAGCACCACTTGTCCTTGATCTGAAACTAACTTCAGACTGTCATTGCCTTTAGTCCTCATCCTAATTATGATCATGACGATTGCCTGTCCCTTTACGATATGTTCTGGCTGTTTATGCGTTCTTCACGAAAAGTCTGTTTCCGTTGATATTCTCATTGTCACGTGCTGAGGCTACACGTCTAGCCACATTTTATTTGAGATCTAAAAATTATCCCAACTGTTTTTTTAATTCATTTAAGGAGAAAAACTAATTATTTGATAATGAAATTAAACCACTGATTACCACAATAAAAAAAACGAATAAAATACTTTAACGTGGACTACCGGAGCGTTGTTAGGTAGCGGACCGATAGGCGCCTTACGATGTGCGCGCATGACAATGGAACAACGAGGTTATGCAATCCTCTTCTAGGCAACGGCTCGGTAAACAGACTTCAGCGTAGGCGGTTAAAACTGCCTTACTATATTAACATCTCTAGTTCTTACTTTCCAGGATTTATGAATTTTAATTACATGTATATAACCATAATTATTCTCTCAGAGCACAAACTGCAGCTATGTTTTGGACATCAGGGTAATACAGGCTAAATAATAGCAGAGTGGAGGGTCGGAGAAATGTAAATAGACTCCTCAATACCAATATTTATCATCCTTTCAAAGGCTTTTCAGATGACTGAAAGATTACTCAGAAGTCTCCTAACTATTGTTCACAATATACTGTAATACGCAGCTACAGAGCGAAACGAAGACAGAATACGAAGTTCATGGTTTAGGAGTGATGAGCGTTAGGGAACTTCATTTAAATTTATAGTGAATGGTGTACTTACGTACAACGCAGAGTCCTGTAGACACTTTAATCGTCCACCCAGGGCAGCAGTAATTTCGATATCTCGATCTACAAACGTTCGGTCTGCAACAGAGGAAAGGTTTATTCATTTCAGCTGTGATTGCACAACCACCATGATTAATCTGTATCCGTAAGTCAATGTGCTACGCTTCTTGTCGTATGAAGAGTGGGGAAATGGTACAAGCCTTTGATTTAAGAGGTCTTTTTTACTTCATTTCTCTGTGACTCATCCAGCCTCCTATCCAATTGGACGTGGGGGGGGGGCTCTTTCTCCGGGGGTAAAGCAACCAAGGCGTGAAGCTAACCACTCACCCCCATCTAGTGCCGAAGTCAAGAACGGTGTAGCTATAGCACCATTCCCAATACGACTTCATGGCCTGGGATTTAATTAATTAAGCACAGGTACAAATTTACTTTTACCTTTTGTTACTCTTACGAAAATATGTAGGGGCAAGGATGTGTTGAATATAAATAGCTTCATGTTTTGAATGTGAAGCCAACAGGCCAGTCGCAAATGGCTTAATGTTGAGAGAATGCTTGTCATAATAAGGAAAGTTGTTTAATTGGGACGTTAAAAACACGCTAAACTGAAAATGTTACGTTATGTTCATTTCGGGGAATAACTGTCACTCTCTTAAAGAGTAGAGGAGCTGCAATCGCTAAAATGTAAATCTGCCAAGATCTGTGCCTATACGTCACGGAACAGGGAACAAATTATAAAAGAAAATGTTATGTTTTGTGCCGTAAACTAACTAATTCCATGAAGACGGTATTTCAGGATCCTGTTGCCCTAACTTATCACTTATTTTATCATTTACTCCCCCTCTTTGCTAGAAACTTCGGTTGTACCCGGCCATCATCAGGCAACTGTTTACCATTACGCTGTATTTTCCACTATATTTAAAATGAATTGATTCCAAATTAAAATATGTCNCAAATCCCAAAAGACTGCTTTCTTTATGTCAATGCTGTTCCACTTGCCGTCATCTATTAACAAAAGGATTTTGTTTGGGCGCATGGCTCATCGTTAACATATCTCTCGCTGTTTTCCTCCTGCGGCGTCGGTTTTGCGTGTTGTTTAGTGCAGTTCTTACGGATGTCGTCGTAATGCTATTTTAGTTATCACATGCTCCAACGGTTTGTACATTTCCACGGTGTTGGATTCAGTATTCAGTATTGAGGGGGTGGGCTTCCCCGTGCATTTAGACCAGTTATTGGTCCATTGTGCGTCCCCCTTTTAATTTCTACTGTCTCCATACCCTACCGGTACTGGTGCTTACTATCAGCCCCTTTCTGCCAGCGAGGTTCCAACCTTCTACTGGCAGCGGCATCTAATAGTTAGTCCCTTTCTGGCAGAGAGGTCCCCCCTCCTCTGGCAGTGGTACCTAATACTTCCCCCATCTACCGGAGGCATTGGAAACTACTTCGGGCGGGAAACTTTTTACGGTGTTGGATTAGTTGAGTGTGTGTCACTTGCTGTTAACAACAGATCAACCACTGGTCACATTTTATGCATTCGTCAGATACTGGAGAAAAAAATGGAACTACAATGAGACAGCGCATCAGCTATTCGTAGACTTCAAGAAAGCCTATGATTCAGTTAGGAGGGAAGCATTAATATCCTCATAGAGTTTGGGGTACCAGTGAAACAAGTAATGAAACAAAACATTATAAAATTCGTATAGGTAATCTTTTGTATGTTAATTGTCCTATCCAGAATGGTCTAAAACAAGGAGATGTTTTATCGTCACTATATCTGAAACGTTGCTTTAGGCTGGGTATCGATTGCGCGTGGCTGCCGCGCACAGCTGTTCGTGCGAGGCAAACTCATTCGTCTGTTTACCGTGTTCGTGTCCAGCAGCGAAGTGCGGCAGCCGGGTGCGGCTCTTGATCGATGCTGTTCCCCAGTTCCTCAGAAGCCGCAAAACCGTCTCAACTGAAAGAGCACAACACACTGAAATCCCTTTGCCGCGGGACAAAGAACTGATCCGATTTGGCTCGACACGCGCGGCAACATGGTATCGACTTTGCGAGTCAAGGTAATGAACACTCCCTCGCGCGGCAGCCGCGCGCAGTCGATACCCGGCTTTAGACTGTGCCATTAGGAAGGTCCAGGAAAACCAGGTGAGACTGAAATTAAATGGGACACATCAGCTGCAAGTTTATGCCGATTATGTGAATCTACTGGGTGATTATATAAATACCACAAAGAGAAACACACAAACTTTAATTGACGCTAGTAAGGAGGTTGGTCTAGAAGTAAACACAGAGAAAACTATGTATATGTTACTGTCTCGTCACCAGAATGCAGGACAGAATCATAATATAAAGACAGCTAACAGATTTTTTAAAATGTGGCACTTCACCATTAGGAATGTAACGTGGTGTAGTGTGACACAAATCCAACGACTTTCGGAGAAACGTACTGCCTCCATCTTCAGGATCAAAGAGTAAAAGCAACAAAAAAATTGTCCCCTTCTTTCTTGGTAGTTTATTTATTCTTTCTTTTATTTTGAATACGGAGTCAGTAAGTTCGGTGGAGTTCTACCGGACTACACGGCATTACAGCTGGCATAAATACAGTTCTGTCAAATTTCCCCTTGGCACTACAGCCCCAGTGGGCCTAGGCCTACCTCCATGAACTTCTGTTCTGTCAAATGAATACCGTAAAAGAAAGCCTCGAGAATATGACTGCATATTCAAAAGATGGATAGCGTTACTTAATATGGTAATATTAATTACACGGTTTATACGTGAGCAGAAACCACATACTGAATGGCCAGTAGAACTAGTGCCCGTAACATCACAAGTGTTGCGGTGTGACACACGACCTATCTGCTGTAGTTCAGATGTCAGGGATATCCATGCAAGCCAGAAATATTGTTCTGTCGTTACAAGTTTCTCTCCGTTATGACCGATATCACGTTCCATAGTTTCTCGTCTCATGTTTTTGCGCTCCAATTATGGGAAAGTTCCTGCCTACAGATCCAGAGGCCCAGGGTTCGATACCCGACGCTACCAGATTTTCTCAGAAGTTGTGGGGAACGGGGTCCACTCAGCATTGTGAGGATAATTGTGGAGCTATTTCCAGGAAATAGCGGCTCCGGTCTAGAAAACCGAGATTAACGGCCGTGGGGATCCGTTGCGCTGACCGCGCGTCACCCTCTATCCGCAAAAGCTGGCACCGACTTCGCCGACAAGCGGCGGTCGCTCGGTCGGTATAGTTCACCTGCGGATTACATGCCACGGAGGTTTCTTTTTCAGTCAACTCCTCCCGCGCAGTTCATTCATAACTAGCACAACTATGCTTCATCCACTGCGGGAGCGAGGGCTCGTCATCGCCGGGTAGTGACGTAGACTGTTACGTCGCCATTAGAAACTTACCAAATTCTCTTTTCAACATACCTCCACTACTCAAAATCCGGTAGGAAATTAAAAAAAATGTGCACAGGAATTCTCTTCCGTAGGGATGCCTACACAAGGCACGACGCGCCCTGGTTCTTAAAGTGGATGGACTATAAGACCACGGGAAAGGTCTTTTTGGACTTGCCAAAATTCCTACTTTTGTTGAACCCAAAGTTTCCTTACCATTTTCACAAATTCCCGAACTTTTCATGGAGGTGAACGTTTATAATGTTCTACGTTATGACACCGTACAGTCCGGTTACCACCGTTCCGAAGGACCTGCTGCCTCAAACTTCAAGACAACCCACAAGGTCATACTCTGAACAGCTGAATCCAGTCCACACTTTTCACATCCTGTTGCCATACGATCCATTTTAATATTATTTGAGTATTTGTATGCGGGAGGTATCCACTTCGAATCTCAGTCGAACTTATTACTATCCTGACTGAGACTTTCACAGACTTTACATTATTACAGTCGTACTGAACTCCAGAGTTCTGTCACAGACTTAGTTTAATGGGCCTACTAGACTAGCCGAAACTGCATCAGAATGGAGGATAAGTTTAGGCTTAACATTGACATGTTAAGTTAAGTTTACACATAGACCTATATCGTAATTCATGAGGTCGCTATTTATGGCTCTACAGCCCTTGTGGACTTTGGCTGCCTTTTCAGATTCTTAATCTATAGGCAGACTGTCTTCGCTCGTTCGGAAGCCGGGATCGTGGGTTCGAATCCCACTCAGGGCATGGATGTTTGTGTGCAGGTAGAGGCCTTGCGACGAGCGGATCACCCGCTCAAGGAGTCCTACCGTATGTCTAAGATCTAGTAAAACCAAAGTGAACGGAGAGTTTCATGGAGGTAGGCCTAGGCCCAAATGAGGGCTGTAGCGCCAATAAAAAAGAAAAATCTATAGGCATGCGGTAGGACTCCTTGGACGGGAGATCAGCCCACCGCAAAGCCGCCAAATGCTACGGTGACTCGTACATATACGACAACATGGATAGGATTTGGTAAGAAGTGACCGGGACCTAATCATCACCTGGAAGGCCTGAGGCAAATCAAGAAAAACCTCAATCAGAAGAGGAGGTATTCTGGTTGAGATTCCAACCAGGTACCACGGAATACGAGTGTAGAGCGTTTCCAATAGGCCAGCATGCTCTCCTGCTTCTTTATGTGGAATGTAAAAAGAGACAGAACTGCGCATGTGCGAAGCATAAATACAGAATATTCTTAGGAACAATGATGACGTAAGGACATGTGAAAACGTACAAACCGAAGACTCATAAATACGGATATACTTATGTTTTGGCAGCGCCATAGTTCAAGCGGTTAGTCGCTGGCTTCCCACCGCGGCGGCCCGGGTTCACAGTTTGATTTCTGGAAGCCTAAGATCTTTAATAGAGTGGCTCATTCTTATTACACGACTGACAGAGCTGGCTCAAGCCGTAACATTTCCCACATGCATTCGTGAGACACCCGTTTCGAATCTCGGCAGGAAAACCGACTATCTTAGCAAGTTTTTTCATGATTTTCTTCGGACCCTTCAAGCAGATACCGGGATAGTGCCTCAAATAGTCATGAGTGTTTGTTCCCACACCCTTTCCAATTAATTAGTCACCAATCATCATACCATTTGATGCTATACAAACAAAAA